TGCCTTTGGCTCTGTGCCATGCTCGTGTTGTGACGCCTGCAAGCATAGACTGCAAAAGCTCGCCGGGCATTGCAGCCGACATCTGCAAACCTGCGCTCGACTCCTCTTCTCTTCAGCCTGCTCGGGACACGTGCTCAGTCAGGAGATTTAGTATGGTCGCCATATCAGACCGTGCAGGGAATGCCGGAAGCCGGTTTGACATGACGCTAATAATGCATACGAGTGTTTCTCACATGAAGCTTTTCCAAGTACCCGCACACCCCCACAATCGGCATCGAGTGTGCCCAAACCTTTCATGGTGTGGGCTACCTGCATGTTTCCTGGTCTTGAGTCTCTACATGTCGTGCTGTGAGCTTACAGCCGGATTGTAGTAATTCGTGTCAACTTGGGTTTTCAAGCTGGCCCGTCTGTGTTTATGGTGATTTCTGCAGTTAACATCCTGTTGGATACGATTTCGATGCGATCACCACGCAATGTGTGGTCGAGCGCACATCGTATCGGACTCTCACCGGCAAATGACTTTCCCTTTAAGCAAACTCGACCCCCTACTCCACGTGAATTTCTGTTGACGCGGCCTTTCCAACTTCCGAAACCGTAGATAACATCGAAACCGAGTCCGGCTCTGATATTCTCCAAAACGATGCTCGATGCGACCGCTCTTGGGATCTCTAGGCTGCCACAAACTCTCACAGCTGACATGAAAATCCTAACGAAAACCATGTCCCAATCGAGGCTGACAGCAAATTACATACCAGATCAAAACCGGAAACTGATGCCTCCAAGCTAAGTCGCTCTCTGTGCTTGGTGCCGGCAACTATCGCATGTGCCCAGGGCCGCCTGGCGCCTCCGGAATTCCTCATTCTGCTGTTCCTGAGCACATGGATTCAGACTGAAGTGAGCCTTGTTCCGTGAATCCACAACTCGTCATTGGCTCAATCTCAGCTCCGCCATGCCATGCAACGCCAAAGTTGCCGAACCTCCGCTGCGATCTTGCGACGCATGGCTTGTTCCCATTCCTCCTGCTCCTGCATTATGCCAGTAAACATTCCCTGCCCCCTCAAAACAACTCATCGAAGCTATGACTGTTCCAACTTGTTGCGCCTGTCTTCGCTTCTTGGCCTCTTCACGCTCACGAACCTCCTCCTGCCTCATTGCCTGGACCATGCTGCGCAAACTCCAACGGAGAACAACTTTGCGCGTAAGTTGTCAGCTTGAAAGGAGCAGCGCAAGCAACGAGACTGCGGTAAAGCGCCTGGCGCCTCTGAGCTCCCTCTTTCCATTTCTTCTCCTGCAGCTCCTGGAGCGGACTCACAGTCCACAACAGTATTCTGGGACGGAAGCTGCTAAGCTCGGTTCAACCGCATTGCAAAAAGGGGCGGGATTGCATGAACCGGTCCAACAGCTAATCTGCGCCGAGACACAAACGGAAACGGTGGCTGCAAGAGTAAAAATAGCTCTCAGCTACGATGCCCAGCCCTGTGGAAACCTTGGTGTATAGTCTGAACTTGACAAAATGCATGACAGATTGTAGCAACCGTGCGGAACTTGTCAGAACTTTGCCGAACCTGCAGTGCCCAGCTGTATTGTCGACATGCCCGTGGTTGCCGTTCACTCTGCAAGTATGTTCTCGGGATGTCTCCCGAGAATATCAGCATGCGCAGAGGCCCTCTTCGTTGGGCTGGCGACCAATGCATTTGTCCAGCCCCCCTGCAACTGTACAGTTTTGCATCCAACTGTTCATCGCCCCGACCTTGAAGTTATCGAATTTGCAATCTTCCAGATAAGCATGTTTCTGCCTTGTAACTGTGGTGCCTCTGGGGTTCGGCGTGACAGCTCCTTTGGGTGTACGAGAGCCCTTTGCAAGGGAAGGAGGAAGGCGATTGGGTGTGGTGGGACCTGGTCAAACAGAGCCTCCTGGCTGTGCACTCTTCAATCTCGCAGTCTGTCGCGCTGTATATCACGAACCTGATTGAGCATGCTTTGATTCGCTGACACTGATCCTCGCCGATGTACCACTTTCACTAAGTCATTGACGAGTTTTTTGATCGCACTGTAGCGATTGATTGTCCCAAAGATAAGGATCCTGACCTGGAAACATTTTCTGGTCAGTATGTCAAAGTAACGTTGAAGTCGGCCCCTGCAGTATTGTTGCTAGGATCACCTCGTAGAGCTCTCTTCCAGGTCCCTGCTGTGATGGCTTCCTGGCGACATTTAAATGACTCCAAACGTATGCCTGCCATTAGCCAATGGTCGTAGCCTCCTGTCATAACTTTTGAAAGACGTACTCAAGAATGTCCATGCCTTGAATCTTGATGTCCCTTGTAAAGAGATTTGAAACAACGATGCGAAGAAGGTTGAGACCGTACTCTGTATTGCGGTTGTACTCCGACCGGGTACTGGTCCTCGGTGTCTGTTCGTAGCCGTTCCTCTGTTATCCCGAGGAGGCCTGCGGCTGCGATGGCGATCTGCGTCTGTTGCAGCCTCTGCTCCGAAACCTAGAATCTTCAATCCTGCAACCACAACGCGACATGTTGCTATCAGACCTGAAAAGCCACGTGCTATGTTAACATCCTGGGATCGTTGAAGGCCATGTTGGTCCGTCTGACATGTGCAGGTCTGTCTCGTCACAACTTTCAAACCTGTTTTGCAAAACCTGAACGCAAACATTCAAATCAGGCACACTCACCGAAGCTGACGCCTGATGCTTTCAGCATGTGTTGGACCTAGGTGAAAAATGGACCTGCCGAGAAACTGCGTTCTCAAAGGGAGGATGAAGTTGCTCACAGTTGTCAGGTCCACATGCAACAGCCACTTCTTCTTACGGCTGTGAGGAACAGCAGTGTGAATCATGCAGGCTTGTTGCGCTTCCTGACCCCCACACCGCCACTTCCCGGATCCAACGACTCTATCAAATTGCAGCTGACGTTGGTCGTCGCTTAATTTGTAGCCTGACTGTAATGCCCGACTGCCAGGGCGGTTGGGGCTAAGTATCGCCTGTTCAGAATTCCCTCCGCGCCTGCCGTGTTGGTTCCATGTGCAAAGAACAGCGCGTACCTATGCACTGCATCATCTTGGGTCTTTGTTGAAAAAGCTTGGCGCAAGCGATGCTTCCAGTAAACCTGCTGCTTCGACTCATGAAAGTTCACCTTGCTAAACACCTCTTCCTTGTTTCCGGTGTAGCTCTGCATGGGGTTTGCCATGAAGGTCCACTTCATTACAGGTGGTGCGTGAACACCTGCATCATGGTACAAGGTGCGAAGGTAGCTGGCATTTCTTTCCATCACATCAGGCTGATGCCGGGCGATCTTGAGCGGCTCTGACCAAGTTATCATCAGCTTGACTGACATGGCACCGGCTCCGTCTCTAGATGCTGGGTGCTGTCTGCCAATCTGGGGTCTGCTGCATGCCCGGGAGGTTCGTTGGCAGAGTTCGATCTTTGCAGCACCTGAGTCGACTCTGGGCTCCATCCATGTCGACGAGATCTGTGCTTGGGTTGTGAAATCCTCGGACTGTTGTCTACAGAACTGGAAGGTACGGAGCAACGCATCACGAATTTCAGCGCGATGATCTGTCGTTTGTCGGGGTATAGACGGAGCACTCTGTTGGCGTTGTTGGCGGGCTTGCCTGCCGATGGAGCCTGGAGCCTATAAATTGTCGGGATGCTGCTGCCCTGACTTCGCCGGCGGTACTGACAGTTCGGGTACCTTAGCATCTGATGAAGAGGATCGTTGCCGAGAGTCCAAATAGATCTGCACATCGATGCTGGCGTCGGGCCCGGGCCTAAAGCAAGGTCTTCAGCTTCATCCGCTTCCTGAAAAGGAGAATCATGCACTGCAGTGCGTCTAACATCCACTCCAGACACATCCGCAGAGTCAGATCCGATGCTTGCCATTTGGCCGAGAGGAGTACTAAGCTCCAGCCACTCCACCACTTTCAGTCTCGGTGGCTTGCTGCCTGACTTGCAAGTCTAAACGAACGTTCGACGGCTTAACATGTTCTTACTTGCGTACACGGCAGGCAGTACCTAAGAGAGAGAGAGAGAGAGAGATGCCCACGACCCGGCAAATTGGGGAGCTCGTGCGAGGCTGGCTCGTCTGATGTACTTGGTTATTTATTCCCGGCTCAGATTCCGGAAATTGGCAGTGCCCAAAAGGGGTTAGTCGCAGACTGGCAACGAGGCCGACATACGGAGACGGTGGCTGCAAGAGTAGAAATAGCTGTCAACTACAGTACGATGTCCACCCCGTGCATACATAGTCTCTGAACCTGACAAAATGTATGACAGATTGTAGCAACCGCGCAGAACTTTTCAGAACTTTGCAGTGCTCTGCTGTATTGTAGATCATGCCAGGTTTATGGCTTTGTCTGGTTGCCATTCACTCTGAAACTACATTCTCAGGACATCTCCCGAAAATATCAGCATGTGCAAAGGCCCTCTTCGCTGGGCTGGCGACCAATGCACAGGTCCAGCCCCCTTGCAACCGTACAGCTTTGCATCCAGAGCCCTTAGCTCACAACCATGGTCTCCGAACACGGTTTACACGTCAGTGCCACATAATATGCTTTGAAGCGTTCCCGACCAAGTTCGTTCTAGGACATTCTCACCTGACACTGGCCGTGTGCGGATGTGTTTTTGTCGCGGAAAGCAATAAAAACGGCGAACTCTAAACACGGTCATGATTTGTTTTAGGCATGTCTAAACCACTCCCAGCGCCTGGCACCACTCTAGGAGCACTCAAACATCACATCAAATTTAGCACACGGCTTCGGTAATAGTTTGTGCAATGAGCTGGAAGGCCGATGACATGCGTCTCAGGGATAGCGCTCGTTGGCCAGATTTGCACGGCCTTTCGGTACCTGCCTTCAGCCAACCACATTTGGCATCCAAGTAAAATGGTGGACCCATTGATCGCATTGGCATCACGCAATGATGATCACTACAAAAACAAACACACACACACACACAAAACACGGACACGATGCTGAAGGCAACGGCTGGAAGAAGCTCCACGAAGGCCAAATCTGCAAACTTGCCACAGTGTGCTGCCCGTATGTGCGAGAGAAGACTGTCAAATTGAGCACCACCGTGAAGAAAGGCTTATACAAAGATCCGGCCAATGCGCAGTCGCTGCAAAAACTGAACACAACAAGTTGAGCCGTCGAAAACTCGATAATCAGCTGTCAGACTTGTGCAAAGAGGTCGCCGGGAATTCCCACTCCATCGTCGTAGAACGGAAATCAAACCCCCTCATGGTTTTTCCCGCATCTCACTTGATTCATTTCATCAAACCGCTGCGCAGAAATGCCCGAACATGCAGCTACCCTTGTAGCTTTGCGCAAGTCAGCATGCTGCAAGTACCTCAACTTCTCGTTGCGCTCGACGGGCAGCTTTAAGTTGCTCTGCCTTCCCAGACGGATCGCAACTGCTGTTATGTCCATGAACCCTCCGCCTGCCTCTTCGATGAACTTGCGACGCATGGCGTGCTCCCATTCTTCCTGCTCCTTTCACAACTGGTCCTATCTGGTGAGATGCTGAAACCTCCTCCCACCTTTGCATAATCAACCCAGCTACTGGTGGACCCGTGGAGGCCTGTCTTCGCATTTTGGTTTCTTCTCGCTCGAGCTGTAGCCTCCGAAGCTCTTCCCGCCTCATCTCCTGAGAAGATCATAACCATGATGCGTCTTGTGAACACAGTCTTGCCGACTTTGTCTCTGATGCCGATTGCTAGAAGGATAAGCGTGAAAGCCGACGAATTCAAGCGAAAGATAATTTTGGAAAGAGGGCGTGAAAACGCTCAACAGTGTGACTGCAGCATGCTGAGCATACTGGTTGAGGCGCTTGGCTCGTTTGTTTAAGCTTGTTTCGCATCGGTGCACAAAGCCTGCACCATTCCTACCCCCGAATACGAAGCTGCTTTTCTTCTTCTTTTTCCGATGACCTGGGGGCCGGTTCATGGCCTCTAATTTACAACCTGGGCGAAACGTTCAGTGCACGCACTGTCGCGCGTGACGGCTACGCCCTGGTGGCCAGTGTCTTTGATTGTCCTGTCCACAAATACGCGGGCAATCCTCCCAGTGGCTTGCGATGGTTGTCACCACAGATTGGCTAGATGTATCACATGCATCTTGCAGCGACCGATCTTGCGCAGGAAAACGCAGCAACCATCAGTAACAACCTGCGGCATCAAGCAATGCGGTCGCGCCCGGACTATCTTCCTCTTGTGTGTGTGTGTGTCTGTCTCTGTGTGTCTCGGTGTGTCTCTGTGTGCCCCTGTGTCTCTGTGTGCCTCTGTGTGTCTCTGTGTGTGTGTGTGTGTCTGTGTGTGTGTCTGTGTGTGTCTGTGTGTCTCTGTGTGTCTCTGTGTGTCTCTTTGTGTCTCTGGGTGTGTGTGTGTGTGTCTGTGTGTGTGTGTGTGTCTGTGTGTGTCTGTGTGTCTCTGTGTGTCTCTGTGTGTCTCTTTGTGTCTCTGTGTGTGTGTGTGTCTGCGTGTGTCTCTATGTGTCTCTGCGTGTCTCTGTGTCTGTGTCTCTGTGTGTCTCTCCGTGTGTGTGTGTGTGCGTGTGTGTGTGTGTGTGTGTGTGTGCGTGCCTGTGCGTGCCTGTGCGTGCCTGCCTGTGCGTG